ACTAATATAATTTCTTCTCTCACAAATGTCACAAATCGTCCTGCAACGGTCGAATTTAATATTATACCGCCAAGGATTGAAAATTACCGTGATCGCATAAGAGAGATACGGATGCACCACGCTATCGTAGTTGCCGGAGGAGCCGCAAGGTCCGTGGCAGCATATGCTACATTCATAAGATCAATACCTTATCCCAATCCGCAGACACCGCTTCCCGGGCTCCGGACTGTATGTTCGAGTCAGTGCGGCATTGACAAAGAGGCTTGCCCCGGCAAACATTACGTCCCGGAAGATTTATTGCTTGCTCACGGAGTAAGCAACAAGCACCGCCATCAGGCACAAAATGACCACCTTCGGAGGAAGGATACCAAGCGATCAGGGCGAGAAGCAGTTCCGAGACAGGAGGTATTTTTCCCATCTAACGCCCACATAGTTTTTCCCATCTTCCCACATAATTTTTCCCATCTAGTTTCCACATAGTTTTTCCCATCTTCTTCCTACATAGTTTTTTCCATCTTCTTCCCACATAGTTTTTCCCATCTTCTTTCCACATAGTTTTTCCCATCTTCTTTCCACATAGTTTTTCCCATCTTCTTCCCACATAGTTTTTCCCATCTTCTTCCCACATAGTTTTTCCCATCTAGTTCCCATATAGTTTTTCCCATCTTCTTCCCACATAGTTTTTCCCATCTAGTTCCCACATAGTTTTTCCCATCTAGTTCTCACATAGTTTTTCCCATATTGCTCCCATAGCTATAGTACAGGGCGTGAGTCGCCCAATGACTCCTAAATGGCAAATACGTTTCACACGTTAATCGTTGATTTTTAATTGATATTTCATCGTCAATTTAAATGAGCGAATGAATGTACATAGCTAGATTAATAGTTCATAAATCAAAATATCAAAGTAGTAATAGATAGTATCAAAATGATAATTCGCTAATGAAATATATACATACATTATTTACTGTTTAATTACTAATTACTAAAAGCTATAGTAATTTCGTGTAAATTAAATATTCTAATATTGTTAAATATTCTGTCGTAATCAGTTAAGTATTTCGTACTCTGTTTGTGGCGCAGCCTTGAGAAATGTTTACGCATCGCCTAGCGCGCTTCATTGTGTAGGGCGTGTTGTGTTTACAAGCGACACGTGCTATCATTACTCACCGGCATCCATACAGAGACAGATCGCAGTGCGTGTCGCTCCTTTCTTTCTTCGCATTTCTTTAATGTTAAGTGATATTTAAGTTATTATATCTTATGAAAAAGTGTCTCATCCTCTCTGTAATAATAAATACTAACTGACATGATTAATAATTTATAAGCGTATTGAAATGACGACTCTGTAACAAAATATACACATATTACAGGCGACTTATTTTTTTAAAATTGACGACTTTTAAACATTAATTTTTCCAAAGGGTACGATCTTGACGTGGCGGAGGGACTGAGTATTCCGAGGAGTTCCGTACCCCAAAGACAAAGAAGCCAATAATACTCGTTTCATCATTATTAATAACTTTAATATTAACGTTAAATAATATTAATGTTATTAATAATGTATTAACAGCGCAGCCATGAGTCGTCAATTATTTAATGTTCTGTTATCGAAAGATTGTAACGGAAATTAAATTTTGTTTGTAACATTGTTGAATATTTCTTTATAACCGGATTATTGTTGTAGCCTTGAGTTGTGCTTCTGTGCCGCAGCTAGTACGTCATGTGTTTACAAGCGCGCCACGTGCTACCATTCATTGATCGGCGTTCGTATGAGCAGGTAGCGAAATACATCGCTCCGAATTTCTTCGCATTTTTT